CCTTCATAATTAATTGAATAATTATTTTCCCTCATTTTTTTTACTCAGAGTATTAGGATTACTAGTTACTTTAGTTGGAATTACATTGATCAACATTCATTAAAAATATCTTTTTCTAGAAGGAACTCCCTTCAGGCATTCAAATATTATAATCAAATGTTTAAAGTATATCTAGACTAACCAGGTCCTAAATATTCTCTGTACTCAAATTCCAGTATCCCCAGGAAAATAATGTTTGAAGACAATATCAGTGGTTAGCAAATTTTTCCCTTTTCCCCCCTACTAGTTTATTTACAAAATTCAAATACAAATTTGAACAAATTCTTTCAATTTTCCTCAACCCCCCCATGCATCAAATTGTACAACCCAATGATTAATCCCCCTTTCCCCTGCACATCCACATCCCTCTGCTTCCAGCCTCTCCCACCCCTCCTGAATCCTAATACTCATTCTACAATAATGGTCTTATATAATATTTATCCTTATGTGACTGAGTTAATTCACTCAGCATAATGTTCTCCAGTCCCTCCCAAGTTAGGTAATAATTTACAAAGTTATTGCACCTGCGTGCTGCATAGTATTCCATTGTGTGAATGTACCATAATTTCTCAATCCATTCATTTGTGGTTGGACATTTGGGCTGTTTCCATGTTCTTGCGATGGTGAATAATGCTGCTATGAACATTGTGTACAAATATCACTTTGTGCCTCAGTTCTCATATTCTCAGGGTTAGCAAGATTTATGTGAATAGTTATGTAAATATTTACAAAATTTGGTTAGATTGGGCTTTTTCTCCCACTTTTTATAGGGAATATAATTTAAAAGAAATTAGGATAAAATAGGGATTAGATAATTTCATTTTTTCTATGGAAATATTAAGAAATGGACCTGTCTAAAGAATTGCTTCATTCAACAAGCATTTACTGAGCACCAACAGTGAGATTGGCAAGGGACAGAGCAGGGTTTAGGGCTGTTGTACCTAGGGTTACTATGAGTCACAAGCAACTCAACGACACATAACAACAACAACAACAACAACAACAACTTGCTACCAAAGAAAGATGATCCAACAGAGTGTGGAAATTATTAAACAATATCATTAATATCACATGCAAGCAAGTTTCTGCAGAAGGTTGTAAAAAATGACTGGAACAGTATAACAACAGAGAACTGCCAGAAGTGCAGGTTGAGTTTAGACATGGTCGTGGCACTAGGGATATTCTAGATAATGTTAGATTGATCTTGGCTGAAAGCAGGGAGTATGAGAGGAATGTCTACCTATGTTTCATTGAGTATGCAAAGGCATTTGACTGTGTAGACCACAACAAACTGTGGCTGAGTCTGAGAAGAATGGGAATCCCAGAACACTTGATCATTTTTATGCTAAACCCATATTTGGTTCTAGGAGGCAGTTGTCAGAACAGAGCAAGGGAACATTGGGAAGGGTGTATGCTAGAGATGTGTCCTATCTCCATACCTTTTCAATCTATATGCAGAACAGATTATCTGGGAGGATAGGCTCT